TAACTTGGGGAGCTGGCACGTGTTTGCTGTGGAGGGCGGGGGCGCACCGCAGCTCCCCCCCCGCATCCTTCTTCAGAACCGTCTTCCGTGCCTGGTCGTGGCCCTTCGAAAGAAGCTTCGACAGTGGCTGCGCATCCGGCTTGAGTGCCGTGGCAACCCCAATCTTGAAGGAGTGCGAGCCGTCAAACGTCTTCTTGGCGTGGATCGCGTACAACTTGCCGCTCTCGACTTCGAAGGAATTCAGGCTGTAGGTGCTGCACGACCCCGACAGCCTGAACTTCTGGGTGTACAACTCCTCGAGCTCGCTCGATGCCGCTGCCGCGGCCACGCCCACGTTTGGCGCCGCCGCAGCCTCTGGCACAGCCGCGCTTGAGGTGGGCGACGAGTCTAGTGCCAGCGGTGGCGGGTCCAGCGCCGATGCGAACGTGCCAGGCGCCGCTCCCGCCGGCGCCGCTCCCCACGCCCAGTACGTATGCGCCACTCGCGTTGCGCTTAGCTGGGGAGAGTGGTATGGCAAGGCCGCTGCGCTTGCCGCCGCCGAAGAAGACGGCGAGGGTGGCTCCGCCTTGCACTGCTGCGGCAGCGGCTCGAGTTGCACTGTCGGCGGGGCTTGCACTGAGACGTTGCCGCTGACCGCAGCGGGCTGGGCAGGGAGTGGCAGGGTGGCGGAAGCTGCGCCGCTGCCGCTGACCGCAGCGGGCTGTGCAGGGAGAGGCAGGGTGGCGGGCCCAAAGTGCAACCCGCCCGACACCAGAGCGTGCTCTCCGGGGTGTCGAGGACTTGTCAGGCTGGATGGCCGAGCGTCAGCAAGTGTGGCAGCGCTGGCGCCGGCAGTTGGGAGGCAGCAGCCCTGCACCGCTCCGTAGGCGCCATGGATGCCGAAGCCGCTGGTGGCGGCTGCCAGCTGCTGCTGCCACTGCTGCTGCGGCTGCGCGGCGGCGACCGGCGGCAGATATGGAGCTGCGCACGGAACAGCGGGCGGAGCTGCAGATCCCGCGTGAGGGGCCGCGCGCGGAGGTACGGGCGCTCCAAACATCGCCGGAAAGGACGGCACACCCGCGGCAACGGGCAGCAACGGCGCAGCCCACGCGGCGACGGGCAAAGCGAAGCCTCGCGCCATCGCACCCTCCGCACCGCCCACCGGGGCGTCGCGCCTCCCACTCCCTCTTGGGCTCTGCCGTTCGGAAGACAAGGGGTACTGCAGGACGAGGGGAGAGCGCAAAGGCTGTGGCTGCCCCGGCCGTGGCGGCGCCCTGCCCACGGCACCCGCCTCCAGCTGCGCGTGCGCGTCCCAATGCGGCACGACGGGGCGGCGGACGCGCGCAAAGCCCCGCTCCGGGACCGACTCGCTGGCCGGCTCGCCGCCCCCGTCGAAGCCACCCGCTCGGCCAGCATCGATCTGGGCGAGGCTGCCAGCGCATGGAATCTCCATTGCGCGTGGCCAAAAGATCCCGCTGCTCTCTGCTGCCGCGAGGCCTTGCGCGCTCTGCTCGGCGCGGGCTGGCGCGTCCGCGCCGCAAAGCGAGCCCCCACCTCCGGCAAGCGCGGGGGCGCCCCGATCGGCTGCCGCCGCCTCCTGCAGCAGCTCTATCGCCTGCCCGATCGCCTCGGCCAAGCGTGGGCCACAGCGACCCAAGGCCGCCCTGAGCTCCCCGATCGCCCGCCCAACCGACTCCGGCATGCGCCTCTGCTGCTGCTCGGGCCCGTCCCCCGGAAAGTTGAGGATGGCGTTGTCGCCGTGGATCTGCCGCGCCCTCGCGTCGTACGCGCGCGCCGCCTCCTGCTCGTCGTGCAAAGTCTCCGATGACCACGTCAGTGCCGTGCTGCATGATACGCGCC